TGATTGTTAATTTTAAATTACAGAAAGAGTTTATTTTCTGTAATACATAAGTCTTACTTTTCAAGTTGGAATACCTGAATGCCATTAAAATTAATGGGAACTGGGAATCTGAATCCCAGTCCCTCTAAATAGGTGACTTTGAAAATATCAAGCTAAAGTAAAATTTGTTAAATTAACGGATTATTAGCAGTTAGACAACTTCTGGCCTGTGGGCCAGATTCAGGATAATAAATGTAATTGTCTGGCATCCATAAAACATTGGGTCTTCAGAATGGAAACCATAATTTTAAAAAAGCTTCAAGCTTATAGTTGCAGTGATAAGCTTTCAAATGCAATACAGCACTGTCTTAACCTGAAATGACAGTTCGAAGAGGTCTGAACTCCTCAGTCATCTCAATGACATGCTACCTCTGAAACCTACCAATGATTACGTAGGGACAAGATTATAAACTAGATATGCAGGGCAGCATTTGAAACAAATCTTTAATTTTCTGATTCAGTTACTGCATGCGAACATGCTAGAGTTACTGCATGCATACATGAGAAAATAGAGACCCTGCAAATGTGATGTATTTTTTTAAATGGTGTGATGTCAGTTGTAATTCTTTGAATTACAGGTAGTTATGATGTGGCCCCTGGTGTAATAAAAATGCTCTTTCTCTCCACAGAATGAGTTTGACACTTTTTTAAAAATATCTAGTAAGAAATGTAGCTTGGATTCTAAGTACATCCTTAAATCTTCCGCTGCTTTGGAGAAATTAAAAAAAATATAAATTGCACCAAAAATATGTAATTACTAACCACTTAAAATTGTACAAGTAGAAAACCCATCCAAATCACCTTTTTGTGTAAACATTTTTATTTGTCAACAGTTAATGCTCTTATCCATTACTGTGACACTCCTGGTGTATCCTTGAGGAGGTCATTATGAAAAAGTCAGTGTTTTCCATTTGACAAAGGATAAAATAAGTAGAAGAAAAACATATGATTTTTGAGGGTATATGGGTAAAAATAATACAAATATCTAAGTTTAATCTCTTTACATAGCAGATAATGCTGAGGACTTACGTCTCTTAATATTTAACATTTAAAAGTTGGAGTTCCTGAATACCTTAGTTGGTTGTATTACATGATTTTCAAAACTAATCAGTGCTGTAACATGGACACTCTTGGGCCCCTAGCTTTTTAAAAATAGTTTCCTGTTAAATATTTGTAATTTTGGCACGTATTCAAGCATCCGGTCCTTCTAATATGAATTTTATCCTGTGATGTGAAGCACAAATTCCCTTTTTTGTAACAGTTCAGTAATGCTGCTTTCCTTAAATTTGTAAGGATTTTCATTAGAAATCACTGCTTTTGGAGATTTGTAGCCTTATTTAAGGATCGGTTAAATTTATGTTTCCTTAAAATTATGTGGATAACACTTCCCTTTTTAAAACGGAGAACAAAAAAGTTTTAAATGCTAACATACTATTGTAGAAATCATAGCAGTTTTTGAGTAATACAGAGTTTGACAAATGGTTTACTTCTGTGATGTAAACACTTCTGCTGTTCAGAAGAAAATTATACCATTACCCTTGAAAAATGGTTGAGCAAACAAATTTAATTTTCAGATTTTTTACTATAAACTTAAAAAACATGTTCTAAGACTTCTAGAAAGTATTGAAATGAGACAAATGGCCAAACTAAACACATTCCAAAAGTTTTAAAAAATATATTTTACCAAAAGACTGGAAAGAGACTTACTTTTAAAAAATACTCACTTAAAGGGTGGTGAATATATCTTCCTTTACAATTACGCTTGGTATTTCTGTGGAAGAAAGTGTTTTCTTATTGGTAAATACCAATATGTTTTCATATATTCCACTTTATTTAGATCACATTTTCTGTTGCCTTTGCAGTTTCAATCCCTTCAATCTAGGAAATTCTGGTACCAAAATGTAACCAAAGCTAGAGCAGCAGCACAGCAGATAGTGTACCAGTATAGTAGGTAGGGCACTGCTTGTTGCAGGTAATTAATATCTCTGCTGTTGCCTTTAAAGAGACAGGAAGCAGAGGGGCCACCACACTTCTAATGCCAATTAGGAATGGGCCAAAGCCTACATAATGTTAAAACCCATTGCTGATGGTGATTAGGGGAGGAAAAGGGCAGACTGCAGAATGCTTCAAGGGATAGAAATGGCCTTTCTCCAGTTAGACTGCTTGAGAGCATAAAGTTAGGTGCCTTTGATCTGTTGGCCATAATGCACGGGACTGTTCATTTCCCCCCCAAATGGTGGTAGCCTTCTGTTTTGCCTGAATATTTAGTTCAACCAGGTGTCAATGTGGATATTCTTTGAATTTTCTGTAACAGTGCACAGCAATATTACTCAACAGTTCAGAAAGGGAATTGGAGAATAAAGTCTACATCAAAACTGCTGGGGGAACTTAGGGAGGCAAGCGTAACTGAGTTTGAATTTTACTTGTACACTGAGAAATATTGCTTTTAGTGTGGCAGAAAGTGCTGTGGGATCTTATGATCACAATTGATTAGGACTTTAGTTTTACATCCAACTTTGGTGTGACATCTCGGTAGCACATTGCCTCCTAATGCTGCAGAAGCTCATCTGGTTTTTAATTCCCTTATGAATATCTAACACCACTTACTGTGGCATATAGGAGTTTTCAGAGGTTTTCATCCAAGTATTGAACGGGCTTTCATTGCTTAATGAGGGAGCTAATGTGATTCTAGGGGAGGAGAGGATCAGGTGAAGGAAGATGCTGGTAACTACCCAGGACAATAAACTGGCTTCTGAATCAGGGAATTGGGGTAGGCTTGGCAAATCTAAAGCACTGAAACCTTATCCTCCTGCTAAGTGTTTGTTTAGATTAGGAAATAATTTGAGGAAAACTAAGATGTTTGAAATTAGGTCAGAATTAGCTAAACCTTTTCCTGGTGTATGTATACACAAGTTAACTCCTTTTGTCTAGAGTTAACAGGATGAGGTCAAACCTAAAATTTCTCCATGGTTGACCTGAACTAGTTAAATTGAGGTTAACATATTTTACTTTTGGCCTTGGTCTGGAGATTTAAGATAAAAATGTAAGCATGTCCTAGCTGACATGCTAACTATCGTTCAAGTCTAGTTTAGACGAGACACTCTGCCTTTTACACTTGCAAAACTGGGTAAAGACTAGGGGGAACCTAGCTAAAATGCATGTTAACATAACATAACACCTTTATATCCTAGGGCCTTTTGTCTATAGTAGCAAAGTAGTTGGGGTTAACTAATGAGCATTAGCCAACTCCAACCTAACCTTGATCTCTCTTCGTAATCAAGTTAAAAACCATAGCACAAGGTTACATTTCACTGTGTAGCCTGTACCACCCCCAGTGGTACGGTGGGAAGGGTGACCACTTCTAAGGAGTGATGACAGTTCAGACTGTCCCTCACTATCAGTATGATTCACAGCGTGCACTGTGGCCCCATCCTTCTCCAGCTGGTATATGAGTTATGGCCCACAGTGAGAGGTAGAAATTTATTTCTCTTTGCCACTGACATTGACCTTTAGCTCTAAGGTCCAGAATAGATTAGGAAAATAGTGTTTTAAAAACATTCACACTGCTTTTAAATATCATTTATCTTGTGTAGGTTAGGAGGTGAACTTAGAGTTGATCTCAACCTGCTAACACATATTTAAAGGTCTTAATTCCTGTCTACACTAGATGCTTAGGCACCATTTTAAAATGCTGGTATTTCCCTAGTCTGGACAGGCCTAAAGGGAGAAGGAGGGATGGAAATGGCTAAAGATTTAGGTCAAGTTTATTAACAAATGAATTAGGCCTCTAAATCCAGAGTTAGGCACCCAATTAAATGGCCTAATTCTAAAGTGGCGAGCACCCAGTTTTCCTATTGAAGTCAGTGGAAACTGTTGAAAACTTAGAAAATGTAAAGCCATTGAGTTAGTGGGTCTGACTTTAGGCACTCATCTTTGAGAATCTTGGCCTTAAGGTTTACATAATTACAGTCACCTGGGATACCATATAGCTGTGCCCATGTCCTGGTTTTGATCCACAGATCATTAGGCCTTGCTCAGGCTTTGCCTTTAGGTAGCAAGTGAAAGTTGGGAAAATACTGTTTATAAACTAGTTTTAAATAATGGAGTTTGTAGTTCTGGGGCAAGTTCCATTAATAAAGTGTATCTGGAAGCATATTGTTTATATGGGGTAAGGCTCAAAGGCCCTGTTAGGATTGGGATCCTATTGTGGTAGGTACTGCATTAACAGAGGAAGATAGTCCTTGTCCCAAAAAACTTAACCTCCCCTTTCCCCTCTTGTTTTTGGGGTAGGGGCCAGTAAATGTGCTGTTTAAAATAAAAAGAAATTGAAAACTATGATTAAAAATTTGACCAAGCTAAATTTAAGACTATGATTGATTCCTACTGATTTCCTTTCCCTCTCTTTGTAAAGATTTTGTAGTTAAGATCTGTGCAAAAGAGAAGGTCTTAAACTTTATTCAATAGTATTGCACTTTTTCTGTTCAGTCAGAGCATGAGTCTTTTAAGTATACAAAAGTGTCTTCTTGTTTCAGTAGTCTTCCAAGATTCAAGGTGTGCGGTACATTTTCTGCATGTGATCGCTGAAGTTCAATTGCTTAGCTGAAACATTAATTTTTTTGTACATTCCACTAAATATTGAACCATCTGAAGTAATAGTTCTGATTTAACCTCATTCTTGGTTTTTGTATTGACACTTATTTGGGTCTCAGGCTGACTTTCCTTTAAAATCTTGATTTAACAGTTTATTTTGCAATTTTTGGTGCAAACCTTGAGTTAATCTTGTGTTGTTAATGTTTAATATTTTATTTGAATAAAAGTCTAGAACTTAAACATGCTTTAATTTTCAAGATGTCTTTAGGAGTGTGTAAACAATGTAGTAGATGGTGTCTGTAGGTAAATACGTGGTATCATAAACAGTAGTCTGACATAGCCGTTGCCTTTTCTCATCTGCAGGTGTGTGTTGTTTCAGCGCAGCATGGCTGTGGTCATCCGCTTGCAAGGTCTCCCGATTGTGGCGGGGACCATGGACATTCGCCACTTCTTCTCTGGATTGACCATTCCTGATGGGGGCGTGCATATTGTAGGGGGTGAACTGGGTGAGGCTTTCATCGTTTTTGCCACTGATGAAGATGCAAGGCTTGGTATGATGCGCACAGGTGGTACCATTAAAGGGTCAAAAGTAACGCTGTTGCTGAGCAGTAAAACTGAAATGCAAAACATGATAGAACTTAGTCGTAGGCGTTTTGAAACTGCCAATTTAGACATGCCACCAGCTAATGCTAGCAGGTCTGGACCACCGCCTAATTCTGGAATGAGTAGTAGGGTAAACTTACCTACTACAGTACCTAATTTTAACAATCCTTCTCCTAGTGTAGTAACTGCAGCTACTTCTGTGCATGAAAGCAACAAAAACATACCCACATTCTCAACTGCCAGTATGGGAACTGCACCACCAAATCTTGGAGCTACCTTTGGTAGCCCAACGTTTAGCTCAACTATACCTAGCACAGCATCCCCTATGAACACAGTACCACCTCCACCAATTCCTCCTATCCCATCTATGCCATCTTTGCCACCAATGCCTTCTATTCCCCCCATACCTGTCCCGCCTCCTGTACCTACGCTGCCCCCTGTTCCCCCTGTACCACCAATACCCCCTGTTCCTCCTGTACCACCAATGACACCTATGCCTCCCATGTCAGGAATGCCTCCTATGAATCCTCCACCTATAGCACCTTTACCTACTGGAATGAATGGGTCTGGAACAGCAATGAGTATGAACAGTGGCTTGAATCCATTGTTTATGGGTCCTATGAATCCTGTAAATCCTATTCAGATGAATTCTCAAAGTGGTATGAAACCTCATTCTATCAATCCAGATGACTTGTATGTCAGTGTTCATGGAATGCCCTTTTCTGCAACAGAATCTGATGTGAAAGACTTTTTCCATGGGCTCCGTGTGGATGCAGTACATATGCTGAAGGATCACGTAGGCCGAAATAATGGAAATGGACTAGTTAAGTTTTTCTCTCCTCAAGATACTTTTGAAGCACTGAAGCGAAACAGAATGCTGATGATTCAGCGCTATGTTGAAGTTAGTCCTGCAACAGAGAGACAGTGGGTGTCTGCTGGAGGTCATATAACTTTCAAGCAAACCATGGGTCCTACTGGACAAACCCATCCTCCTCCGCAGACGCTTTCTAGGTCCAAATCTCCTAGTGGACAGAAAAGGTCACGGTCAAGATCTCCTCATGAGCAGGGTTTCTGTGTTTATTTGAAAGGTCTTCCCTTTGAATCAGAGAACAAACATGTGATAGATTTCTTTAAAAAGTTAGATATTGTTGAAGACAGTATTTATATAGCTTATGGACCCAATGGGAAAGCAATTGGTGAAGGCTTTGTTGAGTTCAGGAATGAAGCTGACTACAAGGCAGCTTTGTGTCATCATAAACAGTACATAGGGAACCGTTTTATTCAAGTTCATCCCATAACCAAAAAGGGTATGTTAGAAAAGATAGACATGATTCGGAAAAGATTGCAGAACTTCAGCTATGACCAGAGAGAGGTCATGATGAATACTGAGGGAGAAACAGGCCCACCAAAGTTGTGTGCACATATATCAAATATTCCATACAATATTACAAAAATGGAAATCCTTCAGTTTCTAGAGGGACTGTCAGTGGAAGAAAACTCTGTGCAAATTCTTGTTGATAACAATGGGCAAGGTTTAGGACAAGCACTGGTTCAGTTCAAAACAGAAGATGATGCTCGTAAGTCAGAGCGCCTACACCGTAAAAAGCTGAATGGAAGAGATGTTATTTTACGTATTATCACCTTAGAAGAAATGAGAGAAATTGAGAGAAATCCACCATCCCAAGGGAAGAAGTTGCTGAAAATGCCAATGCAAGGGAATGCAGCAATGCCAGGAGTGCAAAATGCTGGTGGTGATGAGCATTCCTTTATGGGTGGTAACTCAAAAGATGCAAATAATGGCCCTCCGTTTAATTTTCCCAGTAATTTTAGTGGATCTAACACATTTGGTCCCCCTCTTCCACCACCAGGAATGGGTGGCTTTGGTGATTCTAGACCAGGAATGCCTTCAGTTGGAAGTAGTGGTTTACCTGGTGCCGGTATTGATGTCCCAGTTTTTGGGAGTGGTCCTAGTAATCTGAGTGGACCATCAAGTTTTGGAGGGGGACCTCAAAACTTCGGGAATGGGCCTGGTAATTTAGGTGGGCCTCCTAGCTTTGGTAGTGGCCCTCCTGGTATTGCAGGTGGTCTTGGACATTTAAGTGGACCTCCAGGGTTTGGACCTGGACCAGGAAACTTACATATTAGTGGACCCCCTGGTTTTGGAACAGGTTCTGGAAAGCCAGGGCCAACGGTCATTAAAGTGCAAAACATGCCTTTTACGGTATCAGTGGATGAAATTTTGGATTTCTTTTATGGTTACCAAGTGATCCCAGGTTCTGTGTGTTTAAAGTACAATGAAAAAGGTATGCCCACAGGAGAAGCAATGGTTGCATTTGAGTCTCGTGATGAAGCAATGGCAGCTGTTGTTGATCTCAATGACAGACCTATAGGTTCAAGAAAAGTCAAACTTGTTTTAGGGTAGCTGTTCATATAAAATGTTTGTAGAATAGATATTCATAGTGCTGTGATTAATTCATCCAGATTGTTTTTATAGTATTTCCAGGGTAGAACCTGTGGATTGTTTAAATTGCAAACAAATTTGTTTTGATAAGGCAGAGCACTGGTTTAACCATTTACAGAAGAATTACTGCAAGGATAAGTGTGCAGTGAATTTCCCAGTACGGCTGTGTGGAGAAGAGAGACAGATTCTTATTCACCAATAGAAAAAGTTTGCTAAAGCTGAATTGGCCATATAATGCTTATCAAGGAATCTAGATTGGTTTTATGTAGTTTTGGATAAGGGAAGTAGTTATGTATTAAGATGAAGTCAGTGAGTGGGTGCTGTTGCAAGCCACTGTAAAACAAGATAGCTATTCCTAGATTTGGTTAAAAGCTGGCTGAATTTGCTTTGTTACAGGTCAAAGCTTTGTTTAAAATCCTGAATTTACTTTGCAACTGAATGAATTCTCAGTGTACACAGATTAACTGTTTTGTGTATGTACCTTTATTGTTTTTCAAAGGTTCTTGCTGTATGTGAACAGTCAAATTATGCACATTGCTGATGTGTCTACCAAACTAATTCCTATGCATATGAGCAGAACTGTTCTGTAAAATTCAAGCTGTTCTTTGTGGAATAACCTTTAGTTATTTTTATTGTTGCATTTAAAACTGTGCAGAATAAGACTTTTGCCACATAAGTGTAGGTATAACCTCAAATATATTGAGTTGACTGTTTACTTAAAAATGAATTATAAAGTTGATGCCATACAAGCAACAACTAGAAAACACTCATCATTGTTTAAGTAGCTTGATTTGTTAGGATTACATAAATCAGTTGGGATAGGATTTTCAGCACTAGTTTGGATATTTAGTGTTGTAGTTCTCACATCTCTGGAACTTCTCACATGGAATGTCGCATTTAAGAGAACCAAAGGGATTAATATTACTAGAATATTGGAGTCCAGTTAAAGTTTTAAGAATAGTGTAAAACATATGAAAGAAATTTTTGAGATTACCAGTGACTCTGAATATTGTTAGGACACTTCAGAGACTAAATTTTATTTTCCCCAAAAACTTGAATCTACTTTCATTGAGTTATTGTGTATTTTTTTCAATAAAGTTATGTTGTTTAATTCCAATTCAGTAAAGAATTGCCATTTTCTTTACTGTGCAGTAAAGCCTTTAATGGCAAATAGAGAATCAGAAAGCAGTTTTACAGAAGAGTGAAAAATAGAACTCGCAGTTTGTCTACACTTAGCTTATAAAAAATTCAGACTCTTCTCTTGGTCTGAAAATCCCACTGTTCCCTGCAAATCATTGTACTTAAACACAGCAGTCTATAAACTATTCTGTTTGTTGGTTGAAGAAAAATGGTGCCTTTTAGTGTTGCATATCATGGAACACTGAAGTACGTAGCCTGGCATAATTTAGAGGTGCAAGTGGCAACAGTTTTATTCATGTGGTGTATAGGAGAGATTTGAAAGCCTGTGCAACACTACATCCTGAGAGGATTTCACAGTACAGGAATTTTTGGAAGGATTGTATAAAGGTGTACTACAATAAAGAGGTGGTTGCATTACACAGATGCTTTTGTAATTCATGAGTATAATTTTTTTTTGACAGATCACTAGGTGATGCTCTCTGACTTTGGAAAAGTGATGTGATTGTATATACTGTTTAAAATTAAGCCTCCTGTTAATAAAACTGTCTCTGAACATTCATGTTATGCATTTTAACGGTCTTTGGGGATATTGTTTCAACAGCAGATTTTTTTCCTCTTTGAAAGGCTGAAAGTTCTGTTACTGATGTCAGAAAGATGGGATATTTGAATAGGAGACAAAATAAGTCTCAGTTTATTTTTTTCAATTTTGCTCTGTTCTTAAAACAGTACATTTTTATTAAAATTTCATATTATATTGCAGTTATTTGGGTGCTGTTTCTTCATATTTCATACTAGAATAAAAATATTGAAAAGGAAACCCTGCCTTCATTGTTCACAGAATTAATTGAATTAAGAATTTATTAGTATGTGGCTTGCAGAAACTGGTGGTAACTGTATTTCAAGCTTGAATGAATCACAACAAAGCATTTCTTGTTGTGAAATGTAATTAAACTACTGCTATCTGGAATTTGATTCCTTGTATATCTAAGATTTAATACAGTGCTGTGCATCTTGCTCCTCTTGGTATTTGGGTGTGGGATTTTTGGTATACGTTTCAAAATACTCTAGATATTGCTTTCACTGTGAAACATGCTTGTACACATGTTCCTTCAGACTTTCTAACAAGCTGCAGGTTTGTGTTGGAAATCTTTCATTTTCTGATTATTTTTAATTTTCTGTATGGTCTAAAGATTTGTAAAGCTGTTTCATAAGTTGTGCATTTGTAAAAGCTTTAATTCTGTTTACAAAAATTTATGTAAATGTGTTGTATTTGGAAGAGGAACTTTCTGAAGAAGGGTTTGA